CAGACGCTTAACTGACTGAGCCACCCAGGCATGGGATTTTTATTTAAAAAGCTATTAATGATCCGTGTGCATGGCAGAATGCACCCTGAGAGACAGTACAATAGCCATTTGGCTTTTAAAATCATGAACAAGACAATTCCTTTTATCACTAACACTCTTTGATACCATCATGGAAGACTGAGCCAATAAAATAAGACAAGAAAGCTAAATACAAACTATTGGTTAGAAAAAGGATAACTATAATTTATAGATGATACGACTGCTACGTATCATACGCAAGAAGCAATCATGGACCTAGGAGAATAGTTTCAAAAATGAAGTTGACAGTTTATAAAGCCAATTCACATACATTGAGAATTTACACATTCCTAGCTAGGGAATGTAATGAGAAGAAAAGAATCCCATTAATAACAGGAAGAAAAAAAACCCTACAACAGTAAGAACAAAAAGAAAATCCCACATAAGTTACTTAGGAATATATTTAACAAAAAAAAATGGTTATAAGATCTTGGAAGAAAGTAATTCACTGCGGTGCATAAAAGACAAATATATAGACACTGAACTCTTGGAAGAGAAGACTTAACAGTTAAAGATGCTACCTCTCTCTAAATCCATTAATAAAATTACTCAATTTCAACAATAATCACAATAGCCATCTTTTTAAAAGTAATGATCTTGTAATTCTAAAGCTTAATTAGAAGAATCAATGTAAACATATCATCAGGAAACTTTAGAAAATTAAGAATTCTTTGGGAAGTCTTGCATTATGAATACTATAATTAAAACAAAGTATTACCAGCATAAAATGACTTCATAAAAGCTTAAGGCAAAAAAAAAACACAAAAAAGTAAGCAAAACTAAAAGACGAATTTAAAACCAGAAAAATGTTTCCAACAAAAATGCAAGCCCTTAATATAGAAGTAGCTCTTATAAATAAAATGGGTAACTCCCAAAGGAGGACATACAAATGAGTTAAAATTATTTGAAAAAAAAATAGTCACACTTACTAGTGATAAAAAAATGAATGCAAATTAAAATGAAAATTAAGGCATTTTCATCTAGCTTGCTAGCAAAGATTTTTAAAACGAATAGTGCTCCTGCTAGGAATCTACCCAAGGGATACAGGAGTGCTGATGCATAGGGGCACATGGACCCCAGTGTTCACAGCAGCACTCTCAACAACAGCCAAATCATGCAAAGAGCCTAAGTGTCCATCAACTGATAAATGGATCAAGAAGATGTGGTTTATCTATATGATGGAATACTACATGGCAATGAGAAAGAATGAAATCTGGCCATTTGTAGCAACATGGATGGAACCTGAGGGTGTTATGCTGAGCGAAGTAAGTCAGGCAGAGAAGGACAAATATCATATGTTTGCATGTATAGGAGGATTAGGAGGAACTTAACGGAGGACCATGGGGGAGAAGAAGAGGGGAAATAGTTGGGGAGAGGGAGGGAGGCAAGCCATGAGAGACTCTTGAATGCCGAGAACAAACTGAGGGTTGAGGGGGTTGGGGAACGGGAAAGTGTGTGATGGGCATGGAGGAGGGCACTTGTTGGGATGAGCAATGGGTGTTATATGGAAACCAACTTGGCAATAAACTGTATTTAAAAAAATAATAAAATGCACAGTGCTCTGTGTTAGGGACAACCTGGGAAAACACACACTTTCCCAAATCAGCTGGAGACAGTGTAATTGAGATAAATTTTTACAGGAAATTCAGTAAATAATGCTAAAATATTCAGACCCTGAATAACAGGATTCTGAGAGGTCCCAGGCCAATCTCATGTGTTTATGGCCACAGCTGTGCTACCTACCACATGTACATGCCCAGGTTTATCTACTGAGTGGGGAGACAGACATTCTGGGGCCAAACATGGGGGCCTGCTCCTCCCAGGCCACTGGGTGCCCAATTATCTCCAGTGCAGGTAACCTTGGGAAGGGTGAGTTTGGTTCACGAAACAGGAAGGGTGTGGATGATTATATCCGTTTCCTATTCAGGAGTAGACTGCCAGTTTAAATTCTTCCTTCATGAAGATGGAAACCTACAGGTAAAGGGCTGTGGCCCAATAACCCAGATTCGGCCACACTCTGCCTTGTGCACCAAAGATTCCAAGGGCAAACAGTGACCCCACTGAGATATGCAGCTTCCGCTTCCCTGTGTAGCCATGTGGCGTCTAGCAACACATCCTTTTCCTTGGCCAGATCACTCAAGGGCTTGATGTAGCTTCCACTACTACTACGTAGCTTCTTCCCACCCAAGGGCAAATTCCCCCGAAACAACTCAAGACTTCCACAATCCGAAAAAATGCAAATTAAAAAATGAGCAATATGCATGTCAACGGGAGTATCCAACATGCTTAAAAAAAAAAAAACTTGCTGAAAAGAAAATGTGTGACTAAAAACTGTGGAGATCAGCATCAAAGCGGGTCAACCTGGGGGCTCCTGGGTGGCTCGGTCAGTTGGTTAAGGGTCTCACTATTGGTTTTGGCTCAGGTCATGATCTCATGGTTTGTGGGTTTGATCCCTGTGTTGGGCTCTGTGCTGACAGCATGGAGCTTGCTTGTGATTTTCTCTCCCCCCACCTCTCTGCCCCTCCCCTGCTTCCTCCCTCTCTCTCTCTCTCTCAAAAAGGCGGGGGGGGGGGAAGATCAACTTGGCAAACCCCAAATTCCCAAAGGAAATGGAGACTTAATGTTTTTATTACATTGAATACTTCCTTGAAAAACAAGATTCTGAGGACCTAACAGAATCTCAGAGACTTTACCCTTTGGTTTTGTTCACAAATGTAACTTCACTGCTTCAAAACCTCTTCTGTGTTTACAATTTTAAGATACCCCTAATTTACAATATTATAGCTATAGCCAAATTAAGTGTTCCATCGAACATTAGGGGAGGGAATGGTGGAACAGATCTGTCTCCAAGTTTATACTAATTAAGTTAAAATTTTAAAAAAGGGGGGTGCCTGGGTGGCTCAGTCAGTTAAGCATCCAAGTCTTGATGTCGTTCAAGTCATGATCTCATGGTTTGTGAGATCGAGCCCCACATCGGGCTCTGCTGGTAGCGCAAGGCCTGCTTGGGATTTGGTCTCTCTCCCTCTCTCTGACCCTCTCCTGCCCTGTCTCAAAAATAAACAAAATAAAATAGAACAAAATAAAGTAAAATATAAAAAAAGTCTTGAGGGATGACTGTACTATTTGTGTTACTTGGTTTTTCCACGATTTTCTTTAAAATGTATGTGACACAAAGCTGGACATGCCCTGTCCACCCCCGTCCTCCCCATACTGTCTTCAATGACACTTGCTCAGCCCATTCAACTGCACTCTACAGCCTTGGAGAGAATAACATTTCGTTCCCGCCAGACTTCCAGTGGCCTGGGAAGAGTGGCTCGAACACGTAAAGGCAGACAAGGGAGAAGAGACAGGACTCTCGAAGCCTAAATCAGTTTCCTAAAATGAAATCGGATGGTAAAGACGGCAAAGCTAGAATACAAGCCTTTTAATTTTTATTTAATGAAATGGAAAGCGAAGAAAACATTTTTTCTCTTTGAGCATAGGACACTTTTTTTTTTTTTTTTAAGTTTACTTCAGTGAACAGAAGTTAGATTTCTTTTTGCCACAGAACCCCATGGCTCTTTCAAGCAACTGTCACCTCAATACTCAACAGCAGGGACTGCCATCAGCGGAGAACAGGGTCCCAAGCCATTTGGAATTCCCAGTGTGAGCAATGTCACAGCATGGAGAAGGTGAAGTACAATCTGTTCTTCCGCTCAGTACTGAGTTCTCCCTGATTGGTCAAGTCCTTGCTCTTGGGGGGCTTCAACTCCACTGGGGGTGCCTGGGGGTCCAGCAACAATAATACCAATTTAATATGTGCACAGCCAACTTCCATTTTCCAAGTGCCTTCTCATCCCTCATCAGATCTACTGGTCACACCATACCATGGTATTGCTATGCTCAGACAGTAAGTGTCCTGCCTGAGGCTGAGCTCATGCATTGGTAGAGCCAGCCTGGCACTCGGGCCAGTCTCCCTCCTCAGCCCAGTGCTAGAGAGGGATGGAGGAAGAACATGGCGGCCAGTGCTCCCATCATCCCCTGCCTTTGGGTCCCGACTGCAGCTTTAAAGTCTACACACCGCCACTATTTTGTGAGGGTTGTAGCTGCTTCTGAAAAGTGCTAGGCTGTCACTCCCTTTCATTCCTTTTTTAAACAGCTACGCTGAAAACTCACGGATCCTGTGTCTTTCATGTTACAAAGAAAAGGATGTTTAGTAGGGCTGCTGTGCTGGAGATAATGGGCTTCCAACCCAGCCCAAATCCTGCTTCTCCCTGACAGTAACTGGCATCTACCTAGGGGCAGCCTTTAACTGGGGCAACATCTGGAAAGAACAGAACCTTTAAGTGATGGAGTTAAGAAGAGATTGCCTTTTAAAATTCATTGCTGAAGCTCTTTCATGAGTGGGTGATCAGAAGCAGTCCTATAGATTATAGACAAGGGGACTTACGGGCCAAAACTTAAGAGCCAACTTTCAAAGAGCCAAGCAGTGACCCAAGACAAAGAAAATCACTATTATCTCTGAAAGAGAAAAAGCCAAAAGGACTGAACTGAGCTCTTTTGAAGTATTCTTTTTCCCATCTGAATATCCAAAGTGCAAATTCCACCCCTCTCTGCCCTCCCCCACCCCCGCCCTTTCTTCCCTCCAACATATCTCACCTCTAATTGCAGATCCGGAACTGTCGGCTCAAGAACATATCTCTCTGGAAAGTCTATGACAATTTTAGAATTAAGAAAAAAAAAGTGATACATCTCTTGAACGTTTTGTGCCAGGCACTGTATGGGACCCTACGGATGTCAAGATGATCGGGCAAGGGCCCCGCTCTCTAGCTGCTCAAGGTGTATCTGGCAGGATCTACCTGCAAACAATTATTACAAAACAAAGTCATCCGTGATATAACAGAGGTTAAGTGCAGGGTGTGAGGGAGGCCTGGGAAGGAGCAGTGAACAGTCAGCACCTAGGAGCGTGGGCAAGGGCAATGGCTCGACTGCTTCTGGAATGAAGACACTCTACAGTGAACAGCAGGAACAGAAAGGAGCAGGGATGGACATATTCAGTGTGGCTGGAGTCAGGTGTGTGTTAAATAGCCAGAGATGAGAAAAGACAACCCCACTGGGTATATAGACTGTAAAGGGTTCACATGTCGTGCTTCAGAGTAGAGATTTCCTCTGTATGTAACGGAAGCCCCATGGAAGACTGGAAGGGAATGAGCTGGCTAGCTTTGATTATTTTAGGGCTCTAACTCCATGAACGAGGGTCTTAGGAGGTAGTATCAAAAGGTGACTGTTTGCCAGTCCTCTATCTATCTCACCCATTCCTGTGGATGGACAGCCTAATACACAGAAGTGGAACCCTGGACCTGCCCCCTGAGTTCCACATCCGCATTTCCCAGTGTCCACAAAATTCTCCCCCCCCCTCCCCCCATGGCTCAAGGTATCTCCAAACTAGCAGGTCCAAACTGGAAGACCGGAGTTTTCTTCCCAAACCTTTTCTCATGCCACTCCTCTCCATCTTGATAAATGACCACGACATCCACCCAGGTGCTTGAGTTAGATCCCGGAGATCACCAAACGTTCCTATCATGCCCCACACCCTCCCCCCTCTTAGGCAACCATAGCCAGTCTGGCCTAGTACACATCTTTGCTTAGGCCACCACCTATCTTAGGATTTCTCAATTTAGCACTAGATACTCAGGGCCAGATAGACTATTCTATGTATCACAGAACACGTAACAGCGATCCTAGGCTCTAATCCACTCCATGCTGGAAGCACCCGCCTCCCCTCCCGACCTGTGACAACACTGTCTTATGTTCCCTGGGACATAATACGGGCCTCAGGTGAGAGCCACGGCTCTCATCCCATTGTGCCTCTGCTTCCTTGCTCAGTACCCTCCATGACAATGGCCTCTCCTTCAATTTCTTGAATCTGTGAAGCTCCTTTCTGCTCCTAGGACTTGGCAAATGCCCTTCTCTCTGCCAAGAACACTCTTGCTTCCAGCCTCCTGGTGGCTGTCTCTTCTCACACTTGTGATCCCAGGCCCCATGCCACCTCCTGAAAGGGTGCCCCTAAATACTTTATGTAACAGGTAGCACTGCTGCCCCTGGTTGTTTTCTTCATAGCATTTTTTAAAATTGAAGTATAATTGACATACATTATATTAGTTTCAGATGTGCAACAGAATGATTTGTTATTTGTATATACTGCAAAGTAGTCATAATATATGTAGTTACCCTGCGTCACCATACAGAGTTAGGAAACTTTTTTCTCATGATGCAGACATGTTTTTTTTTTTTTTTTTAGTGCTTTATTTCTGAGAGAGAAAGACAGCATGAGTCGGGGAGGGTCAGAGGGAGACACAGAATCTGAAGCAGGCTCCGGAGACAGCTGTCAGCACAGAGTCCGACGCGGGGCTCAAACCCACGAACTGTGATATCATGACCTGAGCCGAAGTCGGACGCTTAACCAATGGAGCCACCCAGGCGCTCCGAGACTTTAGCAACTTTCAAATATGCAATATAACACTATAATATCCTATATATATTATATGTACAACACAATAATATAGTCCTAATCACTATTCCATATATTACATCCCTGAGATTTATTTTATAACTAAAGGTTTGTACTTCCTGATCCTCCCCTTCACCCATTTTGCCCACCCCCTACTCCTCTCCCCTCTGGCAACCACCAATCTAGTCTATCTATGACCTGTTTTATTTGTTTTTAGATGATTCCATGTGTAAGTAAAATCATACACTATTTGTTTTTCTCTGATTTATTTCACTTAGTATAATGCCCTCAAGGTCCATCCATGTTGTCACAAATAGCAAGATTTTAGTTTTAATGGGTGAGAAGAATTCCACTGTGTGTATGTATATGCATGTGTGTATCACATCTATCCTTTTATCTATCAATGAACATTTCAGTTGTTTCCGTATCTTGGCTATTGCAAATATTGCTGCAGTGATCATGGGGGCACATTTATCTTTATGAATAAGTGTTTTTGTTTTCTTCAAATACCCAGAAGTTGTATCACATGATAGTACTATTTTTCAATTTTTGAGGACCCTCCATATGGTTTTCCACAGTGGCTGCACCAGTGTGCATTCCCACCAACAGTGTGCGAGTATTGCTTCCTCTCCACATCCTCACCGATGCCTGTTATTTCTTCTTTTTAATAACAGCCATTCTAACAGATGCGAGTTGTGGATTTCATTTGCATTTTCCTGATGATTATGGATGCTAAGCATCTTTTCATTTGTTTGGCCATCAATGTCTTCTTTGGAAAGATGTTTATTCAGATCTTCTGCCTAAATATTTAGTAAGCACATTGTTTGGTTTTTTGTTATTGAGTTATTTAGGTTCTTCATATATTTTGAATATTAAACCCTTTATTGGCCATATCATGTGCAAATATCTTGTCCCAGTCAGTAGACAGCCTTTTCATTTTGTGGATGGTCTCCTTCACAGGAGCTTTGTGCAGAAGCTTTCTAGTTTGAGGTGGTTCCATCTGTTTATTTTGGCTTCTGTGGCCCTTGCTTTGGAGTTAGGTTCAAAAAATCATCACCCAGGCCAACATCAAGGAGCTTACCTACATTCTCTTCCAGGAGTTTTATGGCTTGAGGTCTTACATTCAAGCTTTAAATTCATTTTAAGGTTTTTGAGAGAGAAAGAGAGAAGGAGGGAGGGAGGCAGGGAGGAAGACACAGAATCCAAAGCAGGCTCCAGGCTCTGAGTCGTCAGCACAGAGCCGGATGCAGGGCTCAAACCCACGAGCTGTGAGATTATGACCCAAGCTGAAGTCAGATGCTTAACTGAGCCACCCAGGGGCCCCTGAATTCATCTTAATTTTTGTGTATGGTGTAAGAAAGTGATCCAGTTTCATTCTTTGGCACCCAACTATCCAGTTTTCCTAGCCCCAGTGACTGAAGAGGCTACCATTTCCCCACTGTATACTCTTTCCTCCTTTGTCACAAATTAATTTACCATCTATGTGTAGGTTTATTTTGGAGCACTTTAAGAGTTAGTAATTATTATGCTTACTTCTTCTGGTTTGCCTCTACCATGACAATGAAAGCTTTATAAGGGTAGGAAATAGGTCTGTCTTGGCTTCTGCCCTACCCCTGAGGCCTGGCACAGTGCCAAGCTAAATACATGTTTGTCAACTGAATACATAAATGAATGCCTGGATGTACAATCAAGTGTATGTATTATATCCCAGGCACTGGCCATATCCTTAAAAAATGACAAAGTCAGAGTATGGAAAAGTAGCCCAGGAGAATGAGAATGTCACCTGGACAGCCTGTATCTCAGCTGTGTGCTCAGCAACGAAACGCTCCCTGATCTGTCGTGCGCAGTGGACAGTAAAAAGCACTCCCAGAAAAGGAAGAGGGGGTGATCCTCACTAAGGAAAAAAAAAATAACCCACATGCAGATTCTATGAATAGGTAAACATTTTCCTTGTTAACTCAAGCCAATTTGTGTTTCTGGATGTGGGGGCGTACATACACACTGGGGGATGGGCAAAAAAGATAAAGAAGGAGCAAGAATCTTAAATTTACATCCCTGGAGACTGCAGCCACCTTCTGGTTCCCTCCTTAACGGTGCGCTGAACATCTCCTGGAAGGCTTCCGTGCTGAGGGCTCGAGTACCTCGTCTTCCTTCTGCATTACAATAAAAGCTACAGACACAGGATCCGCAGATGGTGAACTTGCCAGAAAACACAGGTGTACCATCTGGGGAAACTCGACTCTCACACAGGAAAATAACTTGTAAACTAGTCACCCTCCACCCCAATGCTTTATCAGATCTTCTTTGCTACTGAGCAAGTTATCAGAGAATTATTACCCCTCCTGTGATGTTCTATACACAATAGTTAGGTTTCAGACGTGATCTTCTCCTAATACGATAGGTCACAATAGATCAGCCACTCCCGGTGGCTCTAGTACGTTACTGTGAAGTTTTGGTTCTGTGCTCAAGAATGATTTTTCAAATTGGCACTTTGTCATTTTATTTCCAGGGTTTCACACAGTTCCCAAGGGATGAGATTGCTTTTCATTCCAAAATTAGTATGTACCTTCTAGAAAAAGTTATTTTGCAGCTACAGCTCAGATTCTGTGTTCAGAGGAGACGTGCACTTTGGACCAGGAAAGCTGGCTTTGGAACCTCCGAATCAGGGAAAGCAGGTTTCACAATGATTCACTTCTATTTTTCTCCCACTCCAAATGCGGCTAGTTTTATCTGTACCCCTGGCTTCTACTCTTCTGGTGGGTAAGAGAACTTTCCATGGCAGGGTAGCAATATAGCTGTTATGAGATTAAATGAGTTAATAATTCTCAAGTGCTTAGATACATGTGTGGCATATGCTAAACGCTTGATAAATGTTGCTCTTATTATTAACATAGCTTTTTAAAAGTTCATTTATTTTGAGAGAGAGAGAGAGAGAGAGAGAGAGAGAGAGATTCCCTATCAGTACAGAGCTCGACATGGGGCTCAATATGACGAACTATGAGGTCATGACCTGAGCCGAAGTCAAGCCTCGGACACTTAATCGACTGAGCCACCCAGGAGCCTCCTATTAACACAGCTTTTAAAACTGCTTCCAATTAATAACAACATGCTTTAATTTGCTGAAGTAATACGCTTCTGGCTAAACAAACTCAATCAAATTTGATAAATAAGATCCTTCTAGGAACCAATGATTCTAACTCCATAAACCAGCAAAACTATGAATAAGCACATGACATTTATCCTGTTAGTATTTGTTAAGTAGACAGAATACTAGAACCTATTCTATGTTGCTGGCCTTTTTTTATGGAATCCAAAATAAAGAATTCTAGAATTTTTAATTTCTATGTTCTTAAGAAACTTCTTTTATTATTATGAACTTATTTTTAAGAGAAAGAGAGAGGGAGGGATGGAGGGTGAGCAGAAGAGGGGCAGAGAGAACTATCATCATGAGCTATCATGGCAAGGGAAATGGGGTAATAGTGCTACAAGTGGACAAGCCAGGGATGCCTAGCTGCCTCGGTCAGCAGAGCATGTGTCTCTTGATCAGGGTTGCAAGTTCAAG